GCTGAAACTGTCATTCTGTTTCACTTGGAAAAAATATTCTTAAGTACTTACTTGGAGATGCTTACAGCACAAATATTTATTGTACACAAAATAAAAATTGTGAATGTAACCTGGATAATTTTTTTTTTTTTTTTTTACATTTAAAAATATCTTTTTCCTCTGTTTGTACACATACATTATGATTCGGTCATTAGCAATATGATCACATATCACATTTTTAATTCTTCTTGCCTTATTGAAAGCACAGGGTGGTTCTGCTCTGAGAACACCTGCACAATGGTGTGTGTAACCTGTCTTGTTTCCTGAAGATCTTTGGAAAATGAATAAAGTGAAAAGTACGTTGTGGTTCCAGACAATAGATGATGCTGTCCTGAAGTTCTGGTGTTTATCTGTACTTGTTTGGCTCTGGTTTCTCAGACAAAGCTGTTCCTTTCTGAGGGCTCAACTTTTGATTCAGGGATCTGACTCTCAAATTCAGGCAATTGTTACATTTTTGAACACTGCAGGGATAATATGTATGAAATTTTTGGGATGATGGTGTTTAGGTCTGTGTGTGTACATGATGCTTTTTTAGTTTTCCATTCATGATGGTTACAGTTGCAGCATAGGTACTATAATGGTTGGACAGTGTGGATACCATCTATGATCCAAGAAAGTTCAAACATCTCTTGGTTCCTGTTTTGGAACACTTATTACAGAAAAACTGGTTTAATTTAGTACCTTTACTTTCATTTCAGGCTTTTTTATAGAAACATCTGGTTCTCTTACTGTTTCTGTGTTTCTGTTCAGTTATGGAAAATCAACAAAGAGCTAGTGAGGTCAGTGCTGCTTAAGATCCCTTTGTCAAGACTAGACAGTTGTAGGTCAGTGAATCAGCACCTAAGCACCTACTGCTTCTTGATACCTATCTTGTCATGACAGAGTACAGATGTTAATATTTCAATTAGGTTTCAGTATGAAAATGGAGATGATCATTAGCACATTAGCACATCAGTTACATGTTTAGTGAAGAATACTTGCATCAAGACAGCTGTTTTCTCCTTGCTCCTTCATGTAAACCCAGTGGGAGAATGGTTGCTGATAACTGGCTATCCATAGCTGGTGATTCTGGTGAAAACACTTGTTTTGATGATTCTTGCATGTACCTTAGTTTTTCTTCCTTTGCTCATGTGAAAGACACTACTTCTAGGTAGACTCATTCTTTATAGAGACAAGGGAATATGGGAATATCCATAGGGATTCAAAAATACACTCTGAATATTTTCTCAAGAAACTGTTAATTTGAGAAGATGAGAATGTAATCAAAATACATGTGTAGTTTTTATAGCTTTACAGATGCTTATGATATCATTTGATGCTTATCTAAAATAAAAAAATCTGCAGAAGATTGAAAAAGGAGTAACCCTTTTTTTGACTTGGAGATGTAGCATTACATTTGTCCTGTTTGACAGCGTGTCTTTATGTTCATGATTCCATTATAACCTGTAGTATTCTTTTAATGTGACTATAGGAAAGTATGGGAAATTGTTGTAAAGCCTGTAGGATGAGTTGCTTTTAAATTACTCATATCAACCTTTTGGTTCCTCTGGGAAATACAGGAAAGTGTAAGATGAAAAATATAAATGATTTGAAGAGAGTGGCAAGAGAGATTTTAGAACAAATGGATTTGTAAGTTTATTAAAAGATCCTGGAGAATCGGACCTCGTGGCAATAGTATAAACGAATTATGCATTTTAATAACAACAAAATGCAGATCAGAATTGTGGGACCAGTAAGGAATACTGCAGAGTTAAACAGAATTGTGAAGAACAAAGTGGAATAAATTGAATTAATTTCTGAAAAGTCAGAATTGCAGTCTTCCTTCATGATTATGGAAAACAGCTCCATTAAATGTTCTTTGAACTGTCTTTATGGATTCTGTCTTTTGATTCTCCTAAGAGAAGATGTTGTTAATAAGGGTTTTAATGTGAATTATGATCATTGGGAAGATCATGTTGTGAATGAACTAGATGGGGCCCTTTGGAGGGTCTCTAGAGATGGAAGAAGTGATGCATAGCAGATAAACACAGGATTAACACTGAGCAGAAGGGAGAGACTAACATCCTAAATTGTTACTAATAAGCACTAATGAGTGAACATCAGCCATCCTTTGTGTTGAAAAAGGCAGGCAATTTACTAATTAAAAATAATTCATAAGGTGGCTTCTCTTTTTGTATTCTGCCTGCAAAATATGTGTGCAAGTGAAACTTGGAGGCAAAGAGCAAAGTGATCCTACATAAGGAGGGCTTTAGAGTCTATTGCCTTAATACTTACATTCATTTTAAGTGTTATTTTGCTCCCTTCTGTGTCTGTGTACACATGAAAGAGAAGAAAAAAATCTTTTTGGCAGGACTTGGTGTTAAGTAATGGAAATTAAAGATATTGTCATCTCTCCCATTACCCTGACTCCTATTAATGAATATAGTGTGTGATGTACAGCACTTTAAAGCTTGAATGAATAGTATGTTCAGGTGAAACTATGGAGATGAGATGAACATAGGTAGAATCTCCTATTCATTATTTTGTACATGAAGTACTTCCTGTTCTCATCGTGCTTTTAATACACTAAAGTCATAAGATATTTGTAAAGCACAGTTCCTTTTCCCTAATTATGCAGTATAATTGGAAATTGTGGGCAAATCTCCTAATCTCCATGGTGACAGCAGAACATTTATCTAATTAGTAGTTTGCCTTTTGGCATTACTTTGAATAAATTAGCATTTCGTTAGATACTTTGGACTATTGGGAAAAAGTTTCCCAGAGTAGTATTTAGTCTTTTTTCTCTAAAGAGTGTATTTTGAATTAGCATAGGTTAATATCCTTTGTAACTGGAAAGATACATTGTAGGAATACTGTTGGTATTCTTAAATCAGAGCTGTTCTTGGAGGTTCTTTGCCTTCTTTAATCCCCAGGAGTCAGCATAAAAATTTATGTCACCTTATTTGACTTACTCTTTCCCAAGGGAGGAAAAAAGGGAAGAAAAAAATGGAACAGGTTTGAAATACAACTTTACCTCCTCCTTCTACCCTTTCCCTTCCTCCAGGTGATGAACTTTTCTTTCAGATTTCAAACAGTGCAAAGCATAATGGTGTAGTCTAACCCCAAAGTTGTGTTCTGTCACTTGCTAATTATAAATGAGCTCTTCTGCAGTATGTCCAATGCAGTTAATCCAGAATAATCAAAGACTATTTGTGTTCTTTTCTTGCATATATAAATCAGTGATGGGAAACTGGATGACTTAAGTTTTAGTACTGACTGCCAGATAAGAAGTGTGGCTGCTTATCATGCTTTCCTGAACAGCTACTGGGAACCATAACTTTGATGGGAAGTTAAAAGAGGTAATTCATCAAAGATAGATTCTCATTGGTTTTCTTCCCTTCTGTTAAAAAGAGCAGAAAGAAAAATTCATGGATGTGATAAAGGACTGTAATTTCCTTTCCTTGAGTCATTGGCTGTTTCAGATCCATGCTTACCCCTTCAAAGAGTCATTGGCTGCCACCTGTGGCAGATTGGTATGAAGCGTGGTGTTAAACATTCTTCTTGTCGCAAAGTGTCCTTTACACCACCACTGCCTTTGGATGGATGGAGGCATGCAAAGAACCTTTTTTCTGTTTTGTTAAATCCAGAGGAATGACACCTCTTCTGTTTGGCAGGTCAGTCTGAGATTTCTTGGCTATCAGATTGGATTCTGTATCTATTAACACATCTGGGGTTTACAATATTTGTGAACTTGGAAGCAGTTACAAAAGGTCCCCCAGTGTGGTGCTGACACATGAAGGTCCACGGCAACCCATCCAGCTGGGCTCAATGGTGGCAGCTTATCTGCTTCTGGGCTGGGTTCTCCAAGCAGATGGTCACATAACTCCCTAGTGGTTAAACAGGACAACTCTGTACTTCTACCTGCCCTTTGGTAAATGTTTTCTTGTTTCCCTGCCCTGGGAAGGCTTTTTTCTTCATTCCTTGGGATTTGACACTGGGTTATCTTGTGATGAGAGGGGTTCTCATGTTACTTCTTAGCTCTTCCCTGGGGTTCTTGAGTTTACTCTCTCAATCCAGTAATTATTTTGTATTTCTGTGCAACAAGTTAGCCAGAGTTTTGGGATGGATATTCCTAGACCACCTTCTGTGATGAGGTCCCTGTAAAAAAAACAAAACCAAATTCCTTTTCTGATTTTGACCAAATCTTTTTTTTTTTTTTTTTTTTTTTTTTTTTTTTGGCAATTGCAAAAATTAATGGAAAACTTGAAGATGAGGAAAGACAGGATGGAAATAAAGAAGGTTTATTAATTGCTCTCTCCTCCTTCAGCATTACTGCAGGCAGATTCATGCTTTCAGGTCTGGTCCTTGGTTACCTCAGTACCTTTGCAGGAAGCTGGTACGAGTGTCCAGTCCTTTCACCCTCTCTGGTACTTAGGAAGATCTTCCCTGCAGCCTCTGAGTCCAGTTAGTGCCTGTCCATAAAATGAGAACACCGGAAAATCTGGGTCTTGGTTGACTGCACTCCCCCTCACTGCAGGACCCTCACTCTAGGCTGCCACATCTTTCACTGTCTCTTGGCTGTATCCTTTGTCACAGGGGATGTTCAGTAGCTCACAAAACAGCTGCTTCTTTATTCCAGAAGCCTAGAAGCTCTACTGTATATCCTAGAGATACATTCAAATTAACTTCTCTTTCTTTATAGGATTCTAAAGGTGCTGTGATAAACCCCTCTAATCTCCTTCTGTATGTTCAAATAAATAAATTTTTCTGTGTGTTTTAGTTATGTTGATATTGTTGTTACCGAGGATGATTTAGTGAATAAGGACTTGCATAAATTGCCAAACAGCACCCATTTTCTCATCTAGCCTTAACAAAGGTTGTTTTAGGAAGCTCTTGTCTGGGGACCTAGAAGATGGGAAGGCGATGTTAGAGGTATGTTAGAGTGACTGCTGTAATCTAATGATCTGAATTTTGTTCTACAGCTTGATGACTGCACCCTGCAGTTGTCTCACAACGGTACCTATCTGGATCTAGAATCCACCCTAGCAGAACAAAGAGATGAACTGGAAGGCTTCCAGGAGGATGCAGGGTAAGTAAATGTTTACTAAATTTAGATAAATAAGCATATTTGTTCAGAAACATTGAGAATTTGGGAGTGTGTGGGGTTAACTTGGTACATACAGATCTGTATAGGAACAGAAAAGATAAAATTGTTCACTCTGTATTCATGTTTTCAGTTTTCTGCGATTAAGAATTTTATTACTTTTCTACCTACATTTGCTCTTACGGTTTCTCTAAAAAGATGGTATACTGTAAGAAATCTATTCAGATGAATGTCTTGACTAGTCTAATAAATGTTTATAGTTCTTTGGAACTTGAAAAATGAAGGTGGTTGCTTCTGAGAACTGTAATCTTTCTTATATGATAATAGTCAGTGTAGAAGATTATATCGGGGTGGTGCTCCTGAAGTTATAAACTCAGTTTCTTTGTGCTTTGAGATTTAATTCCTCCCTTTATATTCTTGGAGAAAAGACTTGTATTGATTTCTTTTTTAATTCCTGCAATTGATTTAGCCAGGCCAGCAGGGAGGAGGTGTGTGTGGTGGGGGTGGTTTTTTGAATATTCTGTCTTTCTGCCATTTTTTTAGTTATTGCTGGTACACATGGATTTTCCATAAAGCATCTCTGAGAACTGAAAGTGAAAACAAAATTTACCATCAACATGTGTCTGTGTGAATGCACATATAAAACTTGCTTTTTAGAATTATTTTTTTTTCTGGGCATTTTAGGTGATTATCTTGTTTAAGATATAAAATGAACAGCAGTCTAGAGCTATTTTTGCCTTGTTGTTTACTATATTAGACTGTAATTAATTTTATGGGAGCATTTTGGCATGAATTTCATGCATGTGAGTAATGCAGCTGTGCCAGAAGGAAATTAACTGTATTCTGAATTGGTCAGGGCTTGTTAACACTAAGACATGCAGCTCTTTTGCTTATACTGGTTTCTCTACTTTTTGTGATAGCAGTCTTGCCTTTGTTTGAATACTTTTCAAAAATGTAAGTGGTGCCTCTGAAGATTATTTCATGTAGAGAAGAATTTTAAATAATATGTTATAGATATTCATGTGTGCATGTCTACTCCATGCATACCAGTTTAGGGCATGTTTTTATAACTATTAAAAAAAAAGAAACTGTTCTGTTAGAAATTAAATTAGTTAAAGTTCTTGAATAGATATTGAATACAGCTGAACTGAGCCTCCTTTCCAATGTGTTGAGTATAGAAGTTGATATAGTCTTCAGTTTTATGCAGATGTGATAGAAATTGCTGCCGAGAACAGGAAGTTCTTACTTCCAGCTCACTTTATAATTAATTGAAAGCAAGTAAGATGAAGGAAAAAATTTCTCTTTTGAGATCTTTTTTGTAGTTGTATGCGTGAGTTTGTCACATCTTCTTTTCCTTCCATTGATGTCTTCGTGATAATTCTAATGATTTTAACTTCATTGCTTTCTGATACCCCACAATGGCATTGCCAAGTAATTTGGCAAGCCAGAGACCAGTTGGTGCTTTTCCTGCCTGACTTTGTGCTTGAAATGGCAAGCTACCTTCCACCTTGTTTTAATTTCTGCTTCCTTTAGGCACATAAAATCAATGATATGAATTGTTCCTGAAACACGATTCTGATTTTCTCTGTGGTGGCTATCCTAGGAAAAAATCCCAAAACATATGGAACTAACTGTGCTGCTTGGAATCTCATGTCTACTGTGTTGTTTTGACATCAAAAACCAGGTTATGTTTGTGTGTACTTTGCATGTGTATGCAGACCTCTTGTTAATTGTACGGTCTGTTGTCAGTTGAGTGATTGCTTCTTCCAATGGTTTGTCCTACCAGGTAATGTGAAGTCTGCTGGGAGGTCCTTAATTCCTCTGCAAAGATGAGTAGGGAGTTATGAAACTGGGTGTACTGAGGTGCATCAAAGCTTAGGCTACAAATTATTATTATCTTTTGAAATGGGTTTTGTGAAATCAAAGAGAATAACTGTTGTGTCTGTTGTAATGTACGTAGCCCTCACCTTCACTGGTCTTTGCCTTGCTCTCTGAAGTCGTTCCTCTGGTAATTAATTGTGGTTCAATAAGAAGTGCTGTCTTTTCATGTCAGGACTGGCTCTGTTAGGTGCAACCCCAGGACTGGCTCTGTTAGGTGCAACCCCAGGACTGGCTCTGTTAGGTGCAACCGTTGTAGCTGTTGTGACCCATCTTTCTTTGTGTTCTCACTATAGTCTTCCTCCAGACATTCTTTCTTACCTTTTTGATAAATTATGCAGGTGGTGATAGTTGCAAAAGGCTGAAATGGTGAGAATGGAGTGAAGGAAGAATGAGGGGGTTGTTGGGGAGTGAGTGAGCTGCAGATGAGCACAAAAAGACATGTGTCTTGCTGCAGAGGGAAGAGGGGACAATTACCTGGGAGATGCCCCCATCAGCACCTTTTCTGAGGTGCCCGCAGGTATAAAAGGAATACTTCCCTTGGATAATCCTAGTTTGTGCTTAACCTGCAGTGCAAGCATTGTGCTTTAACTTGATTGTGTTAAGGTTAAGAGTGTTTTGTTCCCTCTCCCCTACATGCGCATATCCAATAATTTGCAGGTTGGTGTCCTGAAATCCTAGTGGTTTGCTCTGCTGCAGTTGATTCAGGTCGGTGAAGTACAAAACCTTGCATTTAGGAGTAATTGGCTAGAGCACAAGCAGGTACTGGTCAGGCAGAAAATGAAGACAGAGGAACACCTGACTTGTCAGCAGCTTGACAGGAAATGATCTGACATTTTTGGGAACTGTGAGTCGAAAGCAGTTACTATGGTGCTGTGAAAAAGGTAAGGGACATCCTAAGGTTTAAAGCAGGAATTTAGCCAGTGAAATGCAATAAACATGGCATTTTCAGTGCTGGTTAGAATCCAGCTGGATTTCTGCATCCCATTTTTGTCCTCATTTTGCAAGAGAATAGGAGGAAGATAAAGAACAACCAGAACTTTGGAAATGTGTGCAGTATCTTCCCCATATGACTTAGTAACATCATCACCTCAGGGTAAGTGCAACTCGAGTGATGTTATTCAGAAAAACAGGCATATTCTAGACATAGGGTAGAAAATGCAGTCAGTAATGTCTCTATCCATCCCAGATTTCTAGAAAACTCAATTTTTGGGCCTTGCAGCTCTGATCTTTTGCCTCTGCAGAGACCAAGGTGTGAGCTGCAGTGTTCCTGAGCTGGAGCTACTGGCTGTAGACATTGTGGGTTTAGCAGTGGCCTGCTGTCTGGGAGGGACTGGCTGCAGAAACCACTTAGTCTTTCTCTCTCTCTGGGTCATTTCAAGGTCCTGCTCTTAATCTTCAAAGTTTCTAATTTTCTCAGATTAGGATACCTCAGGACGTGCTTTTCTGCCATGACAAGGCTGCTGTGCTCATCAGGGTCACTGAAGCTTGCTGAACTCTGAATGATTTCATAGCTGGATATTCATGGCATTTTTAAATTTTTGATCCTCAGCTGTGGAAACTGTGGTCACTCTTGGAGTGACCAGAATATCCTGCAGTCTGGCTGCTTTCAGAATCTTTTTGCCAAGTGTTCCTGTTTGCCCAGGCAAAACTATGAAGATTTTTTTTAAGTGCACTGCTGAAAGGAGACTTACAAATCAATAAATAAACTGTACAGGAAACATAATCTTATAAATTTTTATTGGTGTGAAAGACTGCAGGTATCTGTTTTCTCTTGGAAGGATTGGATGAGCATACTGAAAAATGATAAGGATTTTTCTTCAGGAGGAAAGATGATGATGGTGGCAGCTAGGCTGGAGGTTTATGATGTGTATCTAAACAACACGTATGAGAAACACATGCACTCATGCACAATTTCAAATTAAGCTGCTTCTGTATTGAGTATAATGAGAAGAGGCTTTTGGTAGTTGCTGTCCACTCCAGCAGAGTCTAAACTTCTGTTTACGGAAGGAGAAAACCCAACACACATGCCCTCTCTGCCTGCAGGGCTAACTGAGCAAAATGTGGACAGGGATGGGACTGTTTTCCTGTGTTCACAACTCTCGCTGCTGCCATTTGCACCTTGGGAATAGCTGTGGGATTCAGGAGAATTGGATTGGTTTTTATATGGATATTTTTGAGGTGACAGTCAAGATGAACAGTTGGCCAAGCAACAAGACTGGTCCTGCAGAAGGTGACAGAAAGCAGGTTAATAAGAACATGTAGGAAAGCAGCCTTTCTTTTCAAGTCTGGCATGTATTCATGGCTTGTTTGCTTGATTGATATTTTATTATTTTCTTTCTCCTTACTCCCAACACATTGCTTTGTGGATTCTTTATTGTGTAAGGAGGTAATATGGAGGGAACTTAGGTGGGCTGGCTGTTTTGTTGAGGTGCTTGTGACAGGTAGTGCTCTTTTCCTTTGTTTACATGAGATTTTTATAGAGTGAGTAAGAATTGTCAAGAAGTTCATGTATTTAAATTCGCATATAATTGCCCAAGTTTTTTTCATTGACCTGTCTTAACAGGTCATAATGGTAGCCCACAAGGTAACACAGTCCTAAACTACAGAACACAAAATTTTCTTCAGACAGCACACTGTGAGAAATGGGTGTTTCCTCGGGGAATATGTTTGCAAGACTTCAACAGAAAGATTGTTTTAAAGTACTTCTGACAAACCACTTCAGTGCTAGTGTCTTTACATTCCTTCTAGACACCCTGTCCCAAGCCATTTTGGCTGGGTGAGTCCCGTTTAAGTTGGATGCCAGACCTTTTCCCTCTTGATGATGGTGTTCATCCTGGACTTGATTCAGAATCTGTTGAAGGCAATGGAATCTGGCAGGGATCTTTAATATTCTTTTCCTGCTTATGTACTGTAGTTTTTGCCTGCTTAGACTTTGCAATTAGTACAGTTGTGAGAGTGAAAACTTTTCGTCACTTTTTTACATGAGGAAGTTGGGGATGCATTTGAAGATTAACTTGTTTTTTGTTGAGTAGAAATTAGAGCAGATGGGCTGTGGAAGCCTTTGTCATGTTTTGCTTAAGGTCCTCTTTATATATTAATTGTCA